TAAGCCCTATCAATCTGCTATATTCTCAATACTTACTTGCAATATATTACTATATCATCACAACATCATATAAACTTAGCTTATTACTAACAATAACAATTCCTAAAGTAGTAGTTTATACTTCTGAGAAGTTCAAAACAAAATATTATCGTAAACTGGACATCTATATCTAAGTTATTTTGATGGCCGTGACAATTAGACGGTTCACAATTACCTAGATTGGCAAGTCTGATTATAGAAATTATTTTAAAGTTGTTTCAAATAAGTTTTGGACTAGTGTACGTGCTATTAAAAAAGATACTGATCTTGTAGTAAATTCTCAAGGTTTAAAGTTGATATAGACAGAAATTAAATGTTGAATTCATATCTGCATTGCTTTCAATTATGACGATTGCTGCCGTAACAAAATAATAACTACCGTAGTTCTTACTGTAAGCCATTATTAGTTATTTTCATATTATAAATGTTAAACACTAAATTTAGTCATTTACTCTTCACGGTGGTTCGCGCCGTGACTGAATGATTGTGACAAAACCTGTAGACTTTCAAGTTAAATGGTTTATAGTGGACTATTATTCTTCTTCTAAATATAATAGCGGTAATATATGATATTCATTTTACTTTATCAAAATTTTTTAGTCAAATATAGAGCAAAGGCTGATACTGAAATAAGCATACTCATCTAGATTAGTAAGACCCAATCTTATTTTAAATAATGCAGTAAAAATTGTATACGATACATTTGTTTATTATGGTAAAGTGCCGCTAACTTTTCAAGCAGATATAGAAATCAAAGAAAAGATCAGCAACATCTGTCAAAACCAGCTCTTATGATTAGACCTAAACTGGTCTAGCTAATCTTCAGCTAACTTTTAAAGAATCTCTATTAAGAAATTTACTTATTCCAATACTAAAAAACTGAGTCAAACGATATAGATTTAGATTAATTGATTTTATTTACTTCTGGCTATTGCATGGTAGTGTTAGTGTACTCTGAGTTGTCCTCGGTCATTACTTTTTTAATCATAAGTACTGATCAGCGAAGTCATTCTGATAATTGTAAATGAGTACTAGTCATAAACAAGGAGCATCAAGTACGTAGCAAGGACGTGTTTCTTTATATTGCTGCCGATAAATAATCTGTAAAAATTAAACATATGCTTATGTGACGTATTCCTTTTCGATTTGGTCCTAGTGGGCTTAAGTTTTTAGATCACATTCGAATTTATTTCAGTAAATTAAACTTTCGCCTTCAATAATCCTCTTAACCATTTCGCCATCAAAACAGCGACTTTCCAGTATTTTTAGATTGATAAAGTCAAAAAATAAGAATTTCTGCGAAACTATCAAAATTTCACCAACATACACATTTACGCAGTTTTTATTAATTCTGCTGTTATAAACTAGTGAAAGAATATTAAATATAAGCTTATGCCATTTTAAGCGCCATTTTTTTAACATCACAACAAATATTCTTTCGCATCTTCAATATCACGATAAAATTATTCTTACTGCTAATATTATATAGAATCTTTGCAACATTATAATAGTGACGTGAATAAAATTATGACGACAAGTAATAAGTTAAAGCTAGAAATGGACTCGTTGGTGATACTAGTACATTCGCAGGTACACATTAAAACGACTAGAACATATTATCTAAGCTCCGTCTGAAAGGATATGCATTTAATGTCAAAGCATAGAAGTTCCTACTAGAATTTCTCAAGTAATATTGCACGAAAAATTTAAGTTAAACTAACGAAAATTGAAATCCTAACAAAATAAATTAGGTGGGAAATACTAGTTTATTATAATTTTAACGATAATCTCAGCAAAATTTTCTAAAAGAACAACCAAAATACGGGCAGAGTTACTACCTTAACCTACCAAACTATCAATTAGCAAGATGTCTAACAATTATCCTAGACTTTTCTTGTCTTTTCTGTCTTTAACTGAACTAAACTATCGAATTAAAGTACCTTTAAAATGCCGTAATGAGCAATTGGTATTTGTAATGAAATGAAAATTGTAGAGATCAAGCTACAAAACTTTAACAAACTTTGATTCTACTTTCGTTGTACTCTGGTCGACTTAGCAAAACTTTGACACCAAATAAAATTTGGGAAAATAACCGAACAACAATTTATTACAATACAAAATGGAGAGAAAAATAAACCGAACAACATTACAAATACTTAGCTTTAAGTATTATTAAAAATAGTGACAGACTTAAAACTGTCAACGACCAAACAACCTTTCAAAAACAACAACGTTTTAACTTACGACAATTCGACCCCGAAGGCCTTTTAAATTATACAAGTTCTTCAAATAAAATCTTCTTCTACTCTCTCTCTAAATTTTCTAATTGCACTATCATTTATAGGCTTCGTAGAGCCTTCAGAGGTGTTTAAAACTAAACATTTGCTAACCAATCGCTCTTAAGATCCGTTTTACAAAACTACTTTGCACCATTTAAGAAAACAAAAATCATTCAAAGTTCAGACACAATTTACCTACGATTCCCTTACAAAACACTATAAAACTAACAAATTAACTATAAATATACATCAAACTTCACTTCTAACATAATTTCTATCATTAATATACTATATAAGTCTAAAAATCAACCTTTAAACATCAAAATTTAGTCATAAAAACAACATCCTAACTACCTAACAATCAACACAACCTCTGCCAATTTCCATCTTATTTTCTATTTTCCTCACTAAATTTTCCTAATGTGACTTCGAGTCACGTCATAAAATTTGTGTACTGAAATGATTCTGTGAATGGACATATTGTAGTCCGACTATAAAAAATTAGTTAGTAGATCTTCTCACCGAAGTATTTTTATAAGATGACTTGTGTATGTTAGCGTCTGTAGAAGGGTATATAAGCCCGTCAGATATTTGAATAAAGCAGTTCTCAATTGTCTAGTTGAGTTTAACGTAGAATCAAAGGCGTCTAAATTCTTGAGAGGTAGTTAAGGGATACTGAATCCCGGAGACTATAGTAATTTAGAAATTTGTTTTACGTTATTCTTGTCACGAAGCTGGTTTGTGACACATACAGTATTGAAGATATCGACCATATATTTTCCATAAGGCATATCCAGGAATAATTTTGATTGCTAATAGCAATGATGTTAAAAAAATTGCTTACTAATTACTACCAGCTAAGGCACCTAAGCAATGCTAGCATATTTCTATTCTTGTATACCGGAGGAGTGGAAGAAATATTCATGTCAATTGATAATGAAAACTTCCTCGACATTAGTTGTAATTATGAAGGGCAGCCTGTCAAGAAAATATCAGTAACTGCTGCTTAGAATTTATAAGAATTTCTTATCATTCTATATGGCATTATAACAAGCTGCAATTACTGTATTAGTTACAAAATTCTAAAAATTGAATGGAAAATTATTCTGATTTTTAAAATTTGGTATTGAATTTCTTTAGTGACTAACATTGCAATACTGCTAATATGCAACAAGATTATGAAAATTTTACCCTCGAATTACTCGCTATCGTGCTCATGAGGTTAATTCACAACCTCAATTATATTTTTGAAGTAAAATCTTTAAACTAATCTGAAGCATTAAAGAAGTTGCCAAGATATTTCTTGACGGTTGCTACCCAAAAAGTAAATTGAATTCGATTCTTTTATCATTAAAAGCGATTTCAGTTGTTAGCAATGATGAAATAAAGAAGTAGATGTCAATTACCGCACGATCATCTGTTTGTGCTGTAATTATTTTGATATATTTAATACGATTACATGATACCATATGAAGATAATTTAAGCTCTCAGATTTTTTCACACGGGAAGAATTTTAAATTTAATTCAATAGATTAGATAATAGTTTACGCGTATTAAAGAAATTATGACGCAAAAAGTTTGAAGCATCTCTTTTAATATGCTCAGCAATATATCGGTTATTATAAAAATTTGTAATATAGCTCGTTCAGTAATGTTTCAACTATATTACAATTATCAGAAATAATAACAGTTGTGGGTAGTAGATGAATTAGATATATTATAAATACTGTTTTAGGTAAAACTATTTCTGGGTAACATATGGTTATTATGAGCGTTGGATAGTACTCCTGCCGCGAATTATGTACAGAGACTTACCGAGATGGGAATAGAACAATATGATCCCATTCCTATTTACACAGAGAGTAATACGTTTGATTACTTTTTTAAATTACTAACATTAACCTTACGCGCGAATAGCCTGTATACTAAAATGATGCAATGTCAATTAATACAGTATTGAATATATATCATCACTTTAATTAATGCTTGGAAATTAAATCGAAGACAGGAAAAACTAATTTTCACATCAGCGAAGATTTCACTAACATTATTTAGTAATTGCCAGTCTGTATTTAACTGAAAAGTACGCGTTGATCAATAAGAACATTAACAGTTAATTGTTGAGTGTGGGATTTTATTTCCATTTTAAACCACAATAAAATGATCTTCGGATCTTTTCTTGTCTACTGGGCAGTTTTTTCTACTCCCAAGGGTACCAAAATGGACTTGAAGTAGAATCTTGAGAATTTTAAATGATCATTTAGAGCAACAATTGTAAAATTGCAATAGTACCGTATTATTGACTTTTTCATAATCACTGATTATTTTACAGTTATGTATAAGATTCTCGGTTAAAATTTCGGATTTTATGTTGCTATTTTCACAAACCATGATACTAGATTTTATTTTAAAATTGAACCAGGCCATGCCACATTTCGCCAACGCTTGTAACATAAGTTGTTCCTTTGGGTGTAGTGGAAATGGAATGATTGATTTGCTTCTTCTTCGATGAATTACGACAAGTACCGCAACTAAAGCACGAATAAAGGATATTTTTAAAAGATTTCCTAAATTTTTCGTTATAGATCACACATATGATAGGATTTAAGCAGCTGCTGAGGAGCGCCAGCCAAATGCAGATCCTTGCAAATAATTGGTAACTACGTAAATCTGACGGCTTCATTTTAACAATTGAGTTATAAGCAAAAGGATTAAGCGATATTAAGACATTATAAGGTGCCCAACAGATTGTAAAAGCGGCAACCATAGTAATTAACATCAAATTAATTCCTCGACATGTTTTATATAGTGAAGCACTGTAATGAACACGCAAATCTTTTCGATTAATACGTTGCTTTAAGCGGCGCAGTATCTTGAAATAAAATGTGGCGATTAATATTAAGGGTAAGATAAAAATAACGCAGTTGAGGGTGAGATAATAAGTTTTGGCAAAGTTTAAACTGTCCTGTAAGCTTTTAAACACAGGTTCACATTGATAGCTTATAATGATTGTTCGAGCTATTAAATGATAAGGCATGCGAATAATTAATGGTATAGCTACTGCTATGGATACTGCCCATATGGTTATAATACACAACATAACACGAATAAATGTAACTCCGGTCGACAAAGGATAGAGTACAGCACGATAACGAATTATTGCCATCGACATCATAGTTAAAGTAGTTGCTGAGTAACAGATTTTTTCCAGTGGCAATGCAGTCGTGCATAGGAATCCACCCAATATCCAGTAGCTAAAAATATAATGAAATAATCGATAAGGTACGACTATAATGGCTGTTAGCATGTCAGATACAGCCAGATTGATTAATAAATAGTTGGTCGTAGTTTTCATTTTGCCATTTTCGTTGATTAAAATTGACATAATTAGCAAGGCATTTCCAATCACTGCTATCACAGTAATTAGTACGGACGCCACAGAAAATCCAATCGCTGTTGGTAAGGAGACTTTTAATTGAAATGGGGCTATAACAGGTACGGTGCTATTCATGGCTATACAGAAATGGCGAGCAACTACTTTTAAATTTTTTGCTCAGAAAATATAAATCAGTACTGTTGTACGCAGTAAAGAAACGCTCAATTCTGGCTTAAGCTGTCTCGATATCAATGTCGATAACGATAACGTAATTTTTCAAAACCTTTGAGAAGAAAGAGATTAAAACTGATTCCTTGTTTCAATAAAAAATTTCGTTAAACCCTATTAGATCATGGAAGATAGATCTTGAGATTACTGAATAGAAGTTAAACTTATTTTCTGCCCCTAAAATCTTCTAAGTTATTAAAAGCAACTTATAAGGTGAAAATGATTAGTGACCAGCCACAAGGAATTCGGAATAAGTTCAATAATATGGTCCTACTGAATAATATAACAATTATCTGCCAAAGGTAGATTGATTGTGTCAGATTGAACAAAATAAGTACTCTAAAAATTATCGTTCTAAAGAGAAGACAGTATCATTTGATTGCATGAAAAGCTACAAATAATGAATAGTTGCTATCAAAGCTTCCATTTAATACAATAACATTATGGAAACAAAGAAAAGGAGGTTAATTTCGATGGTAATTTATTTTAATATAATAATAGTAAATATTCTACTTATTATAGTACAATAATTATTTGAAATGATTATTACAGAATTGCAGCACGTGATAGTCGATCTATGAAGAAATTCTGCTTAATAGACGATTACAATTACTTTATTCTTGACTTGAACTATTTATCCATTGTTTGATAGGAGTTTATTACAACGATTGATTCAGTATTAGACAAGTAACACTGATCAATGTAATTGCATGATAAATTAGATTGATATTGTTATGATAATGATATCTAGATAGGATCACGATCAACTTTGAATATTGTATTTTTAATCATCAGAGAAGAGAAAGGATAATCAGAGTAATAATAACATTGTCCCTAGCTACTAAAAAATAGATACTCATCGGTCCCCTGATGCATTAGCTATTGGCTGCGCCTTGATTAAATGACTGTTGTTGCTCTAAAGTAAATGTTCAAGGTTACGCTACTCAATTTGTCAACAGGTCATTGCCACAGTAGTGCTGATCACGGGATCACTCAATCGATTCAACCTCAGTTTATACTCACTTTTCAAGTTGAAAATGATCCAGTACGGTAACGTTAAATTACTGTTGTTAGTTCTTTCTAGATGAGATTTTTGCCAGTTTCTTGAATATGGCCTTTTTAGTTTTGAATAATAGCGACGCACGATCATGTTAGCTATTGCAACTTAATAAGATGAGAATGGATAAACAACATTGGAGTGATAACAAACAAATCGAGGAGGAATACAAAGGAATCCACTCCCAGAAATCATATGTCGTCTACAACGCATCGTTCTTGATGGCGATGAATATTTAAAAGTTAATTCAGCTTTAGGATTCCGTTCGACAGTCTACAATACTACATTATGAAAGAATTATCTGTTCATCTAATGATCTGTTTATCTTAATAAATGTAACTTGAAATACTTAAAATGTACATTGAAGTATATAATTTTATGCTATCGGAAAATTATTTTCTAACATAGATGACTTCATACACCAGTCCAATAAATTAGTTCTTGATGAAGTATTTGTTCAACTAGTGGTTTGCTTAACTAAATTAAAATAAATTGAAATATTAGAATTACCCTTAGATGATTATACATCTAATCTTGTATTATTATAAAAAGTTTCTCGCATATTGACATAGTATTATTGCTGAGTCGATAGCTCCAACCGTTCTTAGGGCGCTGTGATATATACCAATCACGAAATTCCAAATTTTAGAAAAATAAGGGCTTTATTCAATCTTATACAAAGATTAACTACACAGCTCTACTCTAGCCGAATACTACTTCTAAAGACTTCTAGAATGAACTAACAGAATAATCTAAAGTTGCATGCTTTTATACTTTCCGTAGCATTCCCAGCTACAATCCGCATGGCAACCTTTTACCTTATTTTACACATAGTTAAATTAGTCTTAGTAAGACTATTCTACTGCGGACCATCATTAATCCAATATGGATACGACTACAGTACTTACGTAGACATTATTCACACCAGCCCAAGTACAATGAATTAACCATATCCTAATATATGATTTACAGTTCTATTTTTACCTACAGCCATATTAGTAACTCAACAGCTTACTGTATATAGTCATCTGTACTCTAGCATAGAGTCTCTACCACTACAGTCTATAGTTACAGCTACCAAATATCTCTTAGGATAAATATCTACCGTACATTATACTACACATGGCTAACAGTCTACAATCACAATACTAAGTTACATTACAGGCGCTTAATAAATTATCTGGCCTTACTTAATGCGAGTCTTATAATCGGGAAAACAACGTCAAGCAATTAACATAGTTTGTTTATATTCATACTATGGCAAGGGATACAATAGTGGCTACTGTACTCGTCGCTGTATCGTTATACTGCTTACTCTTTTTTCGTAGATGACACGAAGAATCTTCGCCTTAAAAGTAATTTAATCTACGGCCGTTTTAGGTGGCTTGAGCCTACTGCAAGCATATTGTTACGCCGTACTATAGTTTATTGAGTCAAAATCTTTAGATTCAGCGACTTTGTTGCAGGTTGACTCTAACAGTGCTTAAGACAATTATAAATAATCAAATATTATTTATTAAGAGTACTAAAACCGAGAAAACAACGTTTAGTAACTGATAAAGTTTGCTTACTCCGAGGTTATGGTATGGGATACTATAATGCCTAATGAGATCGGTATGGTGTCATTTAGTTGTATGATATTTAATTACTCTTTAATAACATGATCAGTCCTTGTAGTAAAGGTAGTTTTATCTATATGTATTATAGACGGTTTCGGATTATTGTAGGCTTATTGCTCTTGTACTTTAGTTTATTTAATCGAAATCTTTTAGGTTTAGGGACTTAATTAGAATTTTACCCTTACGATATTCAAAACATTTTATAAATAATAACATAATTTAGCTTTATTTACGGAAAGTATGATATCCGGGAATCTGCATCGAATAATTTATACAATTTATTCATAACTACCTTACATTATGATATCGGATACAGAAATGACTACCATTTTCGGTGCTGTATTGATCTTAGATGACAAGACCAATCCTCACCACAAAATAATTTAATCTATACATGTTGGTAAAAGTTTCAGTATATTTTAGGATAATTGCTGCTACACTGTAATTTTAGAATCAAAATCATGTTGTAGTGAGTTTCTGGCTAGAATATTAATAAATAAATTTCGTTGTTGCCGGAAAGTTTATCAGTTGCAGTATTTATTCAATTGTTGGCAAAGAACGGACGATTAATTTATGACCTTTTAAAAAATTAATGTTGTTTATGGGTGAAATACTCTTTTTCCAAAGAGTTATTTTATTTTCACAGGTACATTCTTGCTATTCTTGAACACTACAATTCTTGAATTGAGTGATATTTCATAAAGGATATAAATAACGCTATGCCGTTATTTTATTGGTAGTTTATTTATGATGTCATATGCTATGCTGAAGAGTAGTAGGATATAGCTTTCAGAGGTTACTTGACCTTAACCTTTTTTGGCTAGGCTATTGTCAAATGAGTTATTTCGGCAGAAATTTATCTTTTAATGGAATTTACGATGGTGCTTAAATGCTTAAAAATGGACTATGTATTGATTAACTGCCTCTTACGACTTAGAATGAAATTGTAAGTATTAGTTTAAATTATTCAAAAAAGTAGCTTCCAATAGCAATTTTCATTACTTATTTTGATTAATTATTCTTAGTTGTTCCATCTACAGTCATACTATCTTTACATGTAATTTGCAACACTTGGAAAGAATTGACAGTAAGTACTACCGCAATCAGCTCATAAAAACTTTTACAAATCGCTGTCTATTTATAAATTTAGAGTGGATTATCTATGTTTCATAGTGTTGTAAGTGGAATCAAGCTGATAATTATCATTTTAAACTACTTCATTATCATAAGATGGCTGTCTAATTTATTGATTCTGAACTGGAAAATAACAATTTGTACTAAACATGTAAATCAGCTATCATAACCAGTAAGCTTGGTAAGGCAGTAAAAACCACGTTGACATTTTAATTTAGGACTTGACCATTTTAGCTGCACCTTTGAAGCTATTTAAATGGTGATATAATACCGTAACAGCGAAATATAATAATGATCTATCGTAGGTGACCCACAAGTTGTACGATTACATGAACATATTTTCTCGAGAGAAAACGGATTCGATTGCAATTTTGACCGATGGATCCCGACCCATTTATTGTCTTAAACAATAAATTTTCTAATACGTAACTGTTTCAGGAATGGTTGGCTAGTATACCGTGCTATTATTACTATATTTGTCACTTTTAGTTTGTCTTAACCCATTTTATTAAATTTAATACTGATTCACTTGTACAATCCAAAGTTGGTCACTTAGGATTTGTGTAATCGTCAATTAATCATTCGGTTAAACCAGATATGGAGAAAATTTATTAATATTTGATATTTAATAATTCTAAAATGCCAATAAGAGAAAGCAGCTTATCGGATACACATAACAGCTCAGATACACACTTTAAAGATTGAATTGATCACATTTTTAGGACAGACGTTTAGATAAAATTTAAATAATCCCTAAAATTAATGATTTATCATTACTTTCACACAATACAGTAAAAATTTTAAAAAGCCATTTATACTATGGATAAACAACTGTAGTGATTTTAACTAACATTAAATCTATAAGATTACAAATTACCATCACATACTGCAAAATCTATTATGATAGTAATAAAAGTACTAGTCAACAAAGGAATTAAAGCATACGTTCTTGGTTATTATAAATCACGACAATATTTAAGAGATAAAAAAGAGGCATTGCTCTTTGGCACCATGTTATTACCAAATACTGACATGATTTTGAGAAAGCATCAAAATACTCAAGGTCAAAATACAAACTGTTAGGAAGGTCTAACTGCAATTTTGAAGCTTATTATAGTTCTTTAAATAGAAAAATTGTCAGTTTATATATAAGATCTTGATTTATTGTTCTAAGGATCACTTGAATCCAATTCTCCCAATACAGCTTTCGTTAGAGCAATATTAACACTTTTAGCTATATAGAATTCGCTTATCTGTTGCTGATCACGACAAGAAATCTCGCTGTCTAAAAGATCTACAGTTAATATCCTATTTCTTTATCATTTTAATTTAATATTAATTTACAATAGTAAAGCCTAAACGACTGTAATGATTACCTCGCAATCAGGGGCTAGCTACTACGTTCATAACATCAAAGATCAGTAAGAAAAAACGCATATTAAGTTTTGTTGTGTTATGTCACAAAACAGCTTTGCAACAAGATAACGTAATGTACGATCAATAAGTCAATTCCTTGAACCACGTATCAAGGAACGATATCTGCACTATCACAAACACTTTTGCTCTACTAGCAGACTACACAAAGACTTAAACGCCTCGTATTTTACGATAAACACTAAGTTGGAGAAATTCACTTTATTTCACGATATACTGCATTTATATACTACTCCTCAATAGTTCATGAGTCATAGTTAATACAATTAACATTAGAATCATTTACTGAATTAGATATTAATTTTAGCTACTGCTCCCTTAATGCAGACAACAGTATTTACCAACATAGACATGTAATGACTAATACAGAATAGTCAGATTACGATATGTCCTATCACGGAACACTTCCATGATAATTTACAGTCTACCATAAGTAAATTACAATCACAATGATTCGAACTGTAAGCAGATGGTTTGCATTCCCTATTATAACTATTAATTTCAGAATGTGTATAAGTGTCACTGTGATAAAAAGTCAATGCTATATTAAAACACAGTATCTCCAAATTAGAAGTTAACTAATTTGTACAGCATACAGTACACAGTACACGGTATAAAGTTGAACCTCTGACAGGTCTACTGAGTACGACAAATGGTAATACTATCTGTTAAATGAGCACATTATCGTAAACCATCAGCAAAGCGACGGGAGTTTGCACTAGTAAAGACAAAAAGAAACTCCAGTAGAAGATCATCTTACAGTGTTCATCGAATATGACTAGAATAAATAGAAATATTTCAAGCATACACTGTTTATAGTCGGAAAAGGTTCAAATTTTACTAATTTGATTATAAAATTTACGGTTATTAAGAATTGTAGTTTTGATATATTTGAAGATAAAAAAGTGGAGCAAAAGAGAAATTCAGTATCGATTGTAGCAACTAAGATGATAATTGAATAACAGCATAAAAGGGTTTAGTAACTGTGTTCTTGCGCACTTTTAATTGAAATGTCATGATGGACGAAATGAAAAAATGATAACAGTCAATAGGCCTCGAAATATTTTATATAGGATTCGCAAAAAGATTAACGTTACCGAATGATTAAAAGATCCCATTTTGATACAGTACACTAGAGGGTTAGTCATACAGCAGCAAATAAGAATTATATCCGAAATTGAACTTATTAATATTTGCATTCTCGAGATCATAAATGTTTTTACATAATTGTAATTAACATTTTGGTTAAGGAAATTATTTGATAATGTAATAATCTTCACAGAGACAAAAAAAGACAAACTAAAGAGTGATATTAACAATGTTATTACTAGTAGCAGTAATTCCTTTTTCGTAATTTCGATTTTGTTTTCAATGGGATTCTCCATGTTAGTGCTACTTGAAACGCTAAGATTATGCTCCTTTTTTGTATTGCGATGGCCCTTGTTTATAGTATAACTTGCTGATTGACTATAGCCATAAATCAATCTGGAAACAAAGTGCTTATTGGTAAAAAAAATTATAAAGATTGGTGTTATAGCAGATATTAAGCCGTAAATACCAATAAAAATGACGGAATGCACTGTTTTTGAAATATCACAGACAGCTGGTGAGGAATATATATCAACTCGATGATAACGTGATGCAACTGGAATGGAAACAGCAATTGATGGTATCCATGCCGCTAAAATGAGCATAAGTAAGTTAGACATGATAAATTCTGATGGAGTTTTAACTCTCAGTGCTTGATAGCGTTCAAAGCTTATAATAGCTAGCGTTAGAAAGGATGATGATAATGAAAAATAGAGTGTAAAGCTAAGAGCATAGCAGGTACTACTGCTTAGGTTACTTTTCTTGGTAAACAAGTTATACAATCTACTCAGGTTTAATTGCAGTAAACTGTTAATAAGATAATAAATTGTAGTTAACATATTTGAGAATGCCACATTTAAGTACAGAAAATGAGATATCCGATAAGGCTTTTTTCGTTCTAATATCAGAGCACAAATAATGATGTTATCAATAAAACCAATAGTAGCCAGTATCAATGAAACAGACATAAAAGGCAATTTTATTGAGTAAAGCCGACCAAAAACGGCGATGGTTTGATTTTGTGTTGATGAAATATTAAGGAAATTATCCATTGCTATGATGTGCAGTTTACTTCACTTTATGTGAGTGAATGAGAGTTAAATTGATGCGATAACGAGCTATAAATCGATAAAAAAGAATTTCTTTAACTTGCTTATGCTATTAACCAAGACTTACACTAGTTTTTTCTGAAGCAGGTATAAATTGATCCTCAAAATAAGATACTTTAAATTTCCGTCAAAATCAATACGAAATAACTTGCATGATACGATGATCTACCAATTTTATGTAAAAGTTCTATGTATTATAATAATATACAGGCTTAGAACGAAAGTGTAGTTATCTCGTTATAGCTTCTGCTTCAACAATGTTTCAGAGCAATATTAATTCTCGCGGTGAAAGGTATAAGATTTATGACATAATATTATGAACGTTGCTATAAATACTTACCAACCAGTTGAGATGGCTATATCATCAATGTTTTGTAAAAGTCACGCTACTGCAGTTTGTTCTATACTATAATATTCTTTGCCTTAAAGTTCTCTTTATTTCTGTCCCTATGTAATTTAAAAATATAAGATTGTTCATGCAAGCTCGATAATCTTAGGAATCGTAAATTAACCATGGCTTTTAATTATATTCAAATATATGAACTAGGTTTATTAAAGTCACATAAAATGGTAAGGTCGTAATATATAATGGATTTTTTCCTATCTCTGTGATATTCAAAAGAGAATAATTTTTAATATTTAAGCAATGTTTTCATTCTCTTATTTAGTTTAATAAATAAAACGGACTGAATATAAATTAGATGCTCTGTTCTATCTTATTAATTTACGCAGACAAAGCCTTAGTTATTGTATTGAATAAAACCCATTTATAATTTAATAATAGCGGGAGAAAATGTTTCACCTGCCTAAACATCTGATTGGCATAACTGGGGAAAGCAATAATACTAGTAATAGAGAGTTCTATAAATTCTTATTTAGAAGGTAAGAAGATCAGTTACACATGCCTTTCTGATTTATCCTATGATTACTTGCCCATCTCTTGAGAATTTTTCGTCAAAATGAATATTTAATATAGAGGAAGTCATTAATAAGCATTATTTTCGATTTATAATTCTTCCTATCATTATTGATATTAAAATATCCGGATAGAGCTATAAGGTCGCTTCTAACACTGTCTAAGGTATGCTAACAATCTTTTAGTAGTTTTTGTCTTCGTGAATAGTCAATGGGAGTTGACAATAAATAATATTAAATCAATATTACATCAGCTCTACTGTTAAGACTAATGAGTAATATATTACAAAGTAAATTAAAATTGTAAGGTGACGAAAGTATGAAAATATACAGAGCACAACAGTATTAATTCATTCTAGTAAATATCTGTGATACACTATGACTAAAGAAAATTAAGTCAGCACAAAAAATAATCAAAGCTTTTATAAATTCATTATCGACTTGAATATAGCCACTATAACGCACGTAAATACTATTCAAATTGATATCCATGGAGTATACATATATAGATAATTATAGCCTAATTACCTAAAATAATAAAGAAATTATAGTACTTTTCTAACTTTTATTACATTCATTTGTTTTCTGGCCGATTTATCACTATAAGCGAATGGGCATGATAACATTAAATAGTAAATGAATTCTTTTCTTAGTTATTTATCTACAACAAATTATAAATACCATCAATTTATCGTTGAAATAATTCTTATACAGCAAACTTGTATTATTACAATTTTGCACATGGAAAGGTTCGTAATATTACTGTTGTGCACTAAAATTAGAATTAGAGTATCTTTAATACTAGAATTTATGGTATGTTTAATTATATCTAGAAAAATTGTTTAAGCAGTACTTTCATTTCCGCTAATATGAACAGTTTAGTTATATCGTTCATAATATTGGTATTACTTGGTTAAAAGTTCACATATCAATTTTGCTACTATCTACTTGAGTTGGTGTGATATATACCAATCATGAAATTCCAAATTTTAGAAAAATAATAGCTTTATTGTATCTTATACAAAGATTAACTTCACACAGCTCTACTTTAGCCGAATACTACTACTAAAGACTTCTAAAACGAACTAACAGAATAATCTAAAGTTGCATGCTTTTATACTTTCCGTAGCATTCGCAGCTACTATCCGCATAGCTACCTTTTACCTTATTTTACACATAGTTAAATTATTCTTAGTAAGACTATTCTACTACGGACCATCATCAATCAAATATGGATACGACTACAGTACTTACGTAGACACTATTCACACCAGCCAAAGCAGAATGAATTAACCATATTCTAATATATGATTTTCAGTTCTATTTTTACCTATAGCCTTATTAGTAAATCAACAGCTTACTGTATATAGTCATCTGTACTCTAGAATAGAGTCTCTACCACTACAGTCTATAGTTATAGCTACCAAATATCACTTAGGATAAATATCTACCGTACATTATACTAAACATGGCTAACAGTCTACAATGACAACACTAGTTACATTACAGTTGGGTTGTTATTATGACGTGTAATAACAACTACCAAATTATTGGAATGACATTCTAACTACTTATTCTTCGCTTAAAATAACCTCATGTATAGGATGGTGAGGAACAGACTGGAACTGTATGGTCACATAGTCTATTCTTCTTTTGCAAAGAATTTAAATCAGAATAAACTATAAGTAAATTAGGATTCTGCAAAGTAAACTGGTAATAAATGGTCTTACAGTCTACGTATATTTTATTCTTTACTCGAAGTCAAAATCAGAACTTACCGGGGACAGAATTGAACGCCCTTGCAGTAATAAGACAAAAAGTATCTATAAAGTATGCAGAATTGCACAGTATTGTTATCATTAATATAATCATCAACTCATTAAAAGCTAGGTAAAATTGTTGATACTATATAATTGAAAAATTATATTAATTAAAATTGACACTATCAGATCATTTCGCTTCTTTTGTTCGTGTCTACAACTTATTTAAGGCCGTTTGATTCATTATATATCAAATCTTATGCCGTAATCACGCTAAATTATAATGTCTAAGATGAATGTCCTGCATAAAATCAAGGTCACGAAGGTAATCTTCGTGACGTATACTTTATTTCCATGTTACGTTCTATATATGCTTAAATATCAGAAATGTTTTACGGTCTCCTTAAATGTAATTTTACTGGTTAACGACTGATATCCTTAATTTAGAATTAGATAGACTAAAATAGTAATTACCAACCAGCTAAACTGGATTGTATTTATCACCTCCAAAGTTGTTAAGGTTCAAAGTACAATTCTTAAATTTAGAGGAAATATCTTAGTAGGATAGCTTTATACGTATTTGTTAAAGTATTAATAAGCAATGTGTATCTTAATACTGTTAGTGTAAATTTAATAGGATCAGATTGTATGTAATCTGTACAGATAGAATCTCTTTAGGATATTTATAAGGATAAATTTCTGATAGATGAGGTAAATTGTGTAGTTAAACCGGTTTTTGGACCAAAACCTATATAAACGGCGAGTTTGCCGACAATAAATTAGATTGCGATTTTCTATTAAGTTTTGAAGATCTTGTTGCGTTAAACCCTGTCTGCCTTGGAAAACCAATTGTCCGGTATTCAAAATAACAGTAGTATAGGATAAAAATTACTTTTCAATCCTTGTTGCAAGTTAGGGCTATTCCTAGCTCGCAATAATCAGATTTATGTTTAAGCTCTAGCTATGAAATAATACTTCGACTACTTCAATTGTGTGTACGCGTATATTGCTATATAAGTATTAAGCAATATTTGTATTTTTTTTCTTAATTTCATGCATTAATTAAGAAATTCGAGTGTAAAAAATGTATTCCGTATGTACTTGTAATAGTATTGTTAACAAAGCCTACTTTCTGACCCGTAGGTTTCCGAGTCATAAGTTATGCGTATAGAAAAATTAATTATGAATAAATTAATTGAATTACAATAAATGGTGAAATCAGTTATAAAATGAGAGGCTTGATTGCTGCCCACTTTAGTAAAACTATTAAATAATTATCACCCAAATTTATTTTTATTTCGATGCCTTATAACTTCCTAACAACACTTTAATGACTGTAGTTTACTTTAACTTTAAATAATTTTGCTTTAAGTACATCATTACGGATGACCATTCCTTTAGAGCTTATAAGAAATTTTAGTACATTTATTTTATTTATCCATAGTGCAAACAAGAAAAAAATCTTATGAAGTATAGCCAAGTTCCTGCGATCTTTAGATTATGTTGCTCTTAACAAGCATATATTTATTCTAAAATATAGAGCATTATTTTTTAAAGTTTTTTGTATTAAATTGTTATCGTGATATTTTCAGGGATATCATCAGTTTTAATAGAAAAATTTTAAGGATCTAAATAGAAGAATAGAATGTTGTCTATCCTTCTTTCGCTTTTGCTTGGCAATCTCAGTGGTGTGAAAATTCAGTGGTAAGCATGACTATCGAATATTTTTTAAGGCTAATTTATTTAATAACTATATAGAATTAATATGTTACTAATCCTCGTTAAAGGAAAAGTTTCTAATTAGCTTAACATGATAGATGAATTAAAGGTTCAGTACAAATTATTTCTCTAAACCTTAAGGTTAATTTAAAGGATAAAATTTGATTAAGTAAAATATTTGAAATAGAATACTTGTGTTTTAAATCTAAGATTCTTATAAAGATTAGTGTGCAATAAAAACTTGGTATCTATGGTCGTAAATAGATTCATAGCTAACCTTATTTGCGAAGTATATTAATTCTCCTGTTTTTTATAATCGAAGATAATTGTCACGGTACGAACCTCCGTGAAGAGTGAATGACTAATTTTAGTATTTAATATTTAAATATGGAGATAAATAATAATGACTTACAGTAAGAACTACAATAGTTATTATGTTGTTACAATAAATTATGCTGTATTGTAGTAAAAGTTCTCATAAGGTAACTAATATTAATTAATTATAGTGTTATGTCTTGTAACGCTTGTGATGAATATCCTGAAGATATTCAATTATAGATGATGCCATAAAATAATTCTGTGCGTGGACTTACTGTAGTCTATTTATCTAGAATCGTTCAGTAAATATCCAAAATTATGAAAAATGCCTGTATTAATTTAGCTATTCGATATGAGCTAAATTTCATGAAATATTATAACTTATACATGATAACTGCTGCCGAAGGGTATTAAATCTCCACAGATAGCTAAATAAAAACGAGAGATATATAGCTATCTTAACGTAAAAGCAAAGGCGTGTAAGTTCTTATGAGGTAGTTAAGGGATACTCAATCCTGTAGAATTTAGTAATTTAGAGGATTTTTTCCGTTATCTTTGTCACGAAGTTGGTTTGTGACAACAGTCTACAAATTGTCATTATTTTATTAATCTTAACCATCTAACGTTACACGATGGATGATTGATAGACTCATGATGTCGAATGTAAGGACTTTCATAAACTGTATTTTATTCTTCTACACTTTGACAATATTTTTAACTGACAAAAAATACGGACTATGAGTGGACCTTGCGGTATCTTGTTATGGCAAGAGTTGAAAATAAAACAGACTGGTATAATAAGTGAGAGTATAGAAGAAGGTTTACTAGTTCTAATCAATAATGCAGTCATCAAATTAATATATGACTAAGCATGAATAGTCGCTAAGTTATCGCGCCATATTAGTAAAATATAATGAAGAATTGGTTGATATCGAATTTTCACGATTAAATCATAATATTGTTATATCTTATTGAATAAGTCAAATACGATGGAATATCAACAAAGTTTTGCCTTTTGTTTTATGTAAAAACCAAAACCGGCAGTCATAAATGATATATATACTAGGAGTTAAGATAGCTGAGATAAAATAAGCTATCTCACAAGCGTACACGTAGCTATCTTCCAAGTTTTGTATGTTATGACCATTTTCAGTTGCGTAGCTAACAGCAGCTCCAATCAATAAAATTTGTAACGGTAGCGACAAAATGATAAAAATTGTATATGTAATGACCGTAACAGATAATCTCTGCTTGACATTATGTAAACGAGAGTTAGATATTTTATGCGGGTTAGAGTAGAGGAAATTTAACTTTGAATTTTCGAATTCAAGGTAAGCATTGATAGAGGTAAAAATAGTTAAAAATGATGGGATAAAAAAGGATAAGAGGAAGTAGATAAAGACATAAATTATTAAATTGGAGATAGAGGACGACTGAATTCCGCAATATGCTAGTACAGAATCGTCGCGAATGGAATGATAATGGAATAAAACTGGAAGGGAAATAGTCATCGAGAATGCCCAAACAATAAATATCTTTTTGGTTGATATCCTCGGGACAGATAATTGATCATCGTTACTGAAGTGAACATAGAAACAGTAACTTATTAAAAAAGTAACATTGGATGTTAATGAAAAGGTAAGATAGATTAAATACAAAGTTGCTTTACATAGCCAGTTATTGACGTTAATATTCCACCGAAAGATCGCAATAACATGAGTTGAACGTTGAAGAACTGGACTGGTGACAATTATTCCAATAACTCCAAAGGATGAGAGTAACATATAACATGTGCATAAACTAGCAATAGAAATGGTTATAAAATCGTTATATTTTCTCACTGTAAATATCCATATTAAATAAGAAGTATTCATAATCAATGATATTATCATACAAAACGTTAAAAAATGATTATCTCCATCATTATAACCTATCAAGCTCATTTTTGTGAGAAGGTACGATTAACTTTAGCCTTTAAAATTGTATCATTTAAAAAACTATTAGTGAGAATTGGCTCGTTTTATAGTATTACTTTCAAGCATGACATAGAATAATTTGATTGAAGAGTGAGAATTTGTTTAACTTATTCTTGATCTCATTTCCTTTTCTTGCTATTAATATTTCTTCAAATCATTAAAAGAGCATAGTAGCCATCGGAAGCTAAGGTAATTAAATCAGAAAATCATTTGATCGGTGTTACTCGTTAATATCCAATTCCACTGTTTCCTTTGGCCTATGAATATCCTGAATGAAAGCGATTTTCAACTGCTAAGTTGTGATAATATAAAAGTAAAATTCTTGGTCTTAAAATGCTCTTTAGAATACTTATAACTCTGTCACAAACCAACTTCGTGACAAGTATAACGTAAAACAAATCTCTAAATTACTATAGTCTCCGGGATTCAGTATCCCTACTTACAAGAATTTAGACGCCTTTGATTCTACGTTAAAACAACTATACAATTGAGAACTGCTTTATTCAACTAGCTGACGGGTTTATATACCCTTCTACAGCAGCTAACATTCACAAGTCATCTTATAATAATACTTGGGTGAGAACATCTACTAACTAGTTTTTCACAGTCGGACTACAATATGTCCATTCACAGAATCATTTCAGCACATATTACAGCACAGCAATAAATTTACTGTAACACATTTATAATTAGAGTAACTCCTATTGTAAGTAACTAGTTGTAATATAATATCACTATACTATATTAACCAAATTTAGATAGCTATTTCTTCACGGTAGTTCGTACCGTGACAAACTCATAAACGTTTGAATCACAGATCTTGGAAGTTTACGTTTAGTTAGGCTTCGCTTATGTAGTAGAAGCTACAAACTCTTATATCTATTCAATATTATATGAATTTAATTTTTATAAGTGTGTTGTTCATCTAGGCTTGCATTTGTCCTACGAAGAATGTATTCTTAATGTTGTACTGGTAGATGTCAATATAAGAAAGTTAAATTTGGGAGATTATAATTTTCTATTTATTTACTTAAAAATCATCTATCATAATTATGGCAGTATTGTCAATGTCCGACTACAGCTACTTATTTTCTGATATTATTTTCACACGTGAAAACTGCCTCATCGTTTTATCCTTATTTTATATAGAAGTTACGTAACGACAGATGGGGGCCATAGATTTGATTTTTTCGCAATGTCATGAGAATATGACGTAATCAGTCTATTTAAATAAATTCTGTCCTAAATTGGCTTGAAACCATAGCAATGCAGAGAGACGGAGAAATCGTATGACTGCTGTTATGATAGGATGAAGGAAGAATTGAAAAACGCTATTGGTTCCAATCTGTGAAGATAATGAAACGGAAGTATCTGGCGTTATCAAATACATTTAGAAAATATCTGTCAGCACTCTGAATAGTATTTTAATTCGAGAATGGAGCCATCCATATTCAATTTTGCTAGAATCTCTTAGCTTCATTATGGTCGTGACATAATCAATGCTTTAATATAAAATGTCAGGTTTAATCATGATTTGCTATGATATGATAAAGAATCGCTATAAAATACGTTACCTGATCATAAAATAAGTACTATTTCTATCCGTTAAATGAAATAAGGTCGCACAAGACGCCTTTCTCCAATATTGTTAGACAAAAAATAGTTTATAACTTAAATATATAGTTGAATTTTACTGTAACAAACTTCGATCGCTCTAACTGAAATTGCTAGATCTTGGACTGAACTCTTTCTGCTGCCGCCTAACCATGCGTCTTGCATTCTCATTTAAGGCTACAACTATTACCTCTAAAATTATCCGCCAACAGCACTCTACTACACTAACACCAAAATGAAATATTCTTGATTTTATTTATCCATTCAGGTTTTAGCGCCGTCATTTTACTTATGATTTTTAGGTTCTTGCTATAGAGTCTATATTTCTATAGGGACATCAATTTTAGAGATTGCTTTTTTAAATAAACAAACCGAAATTTCATGCTAATCTAATTTTACTTACTATGCGTTAAAAACTCACAGTAAAGTATCGTAAGATAACACTTTTATAAGCATAGACACATCTACAACTTTTCACACCTCAAGCTGCTCAAAATGTTTTCATTCATATAAGAACTATCTAACCTGTAAACAACTACAGTGTTATTGTTATACCTTACAAGTAGAGGCATCTCGAACAGAGATGTTCCGTGCAAGGCTTTTCTGCCAGTGATTATTTTGACCAATTACTCATACTTAATCTTAATCTAAGGATGTATTCTCTCTAGTTCAATTATCATTAGCTAGAACTTGGATTATTTTACCACTATTATCATATAATTATGATCAATATCAAATATGTGATAAGCTATCTCAAATAATATACTGGTGTCACAGCCATCAAAATAACTTGGATATGGATGTGTAGTTTATTATAACATCTTTTTTAGAACATTTTAGAAGTATAAACCACTACTCGAAGAATTGTTATATTGTTAATAATACCCTAATTTATTATGACATTATGATAATATAGTAATATGTTACAAGTAAGTATCGAGAACATAGGAACTTGGCAGGGCTTACAGTCGAAGTAGATTTACGTATGAAATTGTTTATTACATCGAATGTCTGTATTTGATAATTCAATCGTAATAACATGTTCGTTATTGAAATATGTTGGTAGCATAGTAAATATGTTTATAACTACTGAAATAGTATATTAGAAGGACGGTAATTAATAAAATGTGATTTCAGGTTAAGGCTAAGTTTTGTGATAGTTTTATATCGTATAATATATTGAGCGACTCAGAACTTCGCCGGAATTCCAGTTACTTACCGTAGCCTAGGAAAGTAGTTCTGCAGATTAACGTAAAGTTTATGATAAGTACTGTGTTCTTTTCTTGTGTCGCAACGGTAGTTGTGGTACCTAGTCAAGGCATTATTTATTTTACCAAGCACTATGAGTAAAGATGTTGTCCATATTAGATGTCACTATACTATAAATGTAAAATTATTAGGCCATAAATCCTTTAAATATATTATTTTCTTCACTGCAGTAAGCCGTGAAATTGTGATTATATCAGTAAATCAAGTTATTGCATTAAGGTGAAAATTTTGATGAATTCCGTACCTAATAACGTATACAAGGAAGACAAACGTATATTGAACTATTACCTACAAAATATATTTTAGATTTTCATAGCTTATAAATACTTTCTCAGCAGTATGCTTGTAAATAAATGTACAATCCGTCTACTATAGCAGCAGTTTAACAGTATCGCAGATAAAAAGTTAATAGAAATAATAATAATAAATATTAAGGGTAACTTTAAGTAAGTGACATTTACCGAATATTAATATCATTCGAGTTAATTTCGTACGCTGGCTCGGTATTGAATTAAGGGCCGGGAATATAGATTATTGGCATACTTTATAATAAAACAAGTAAATAAATTACCGTTGCTGAACCTTATTTGATTTTAAGAACGCCATTAGAGCTCTACGAAATGATTTGCTAGTAATGCAATAAATGACAGGATTTATAATATTAAGGCACAAACCAATTCCATCAGTATATAAGTAAAAATTGGGTAAATTTTGAAAATACATATCAATCATGGTCTTATTAGTTAATGTTATTATTAGTTTAGAGATATGAAAAGCACATGAAAAGGAAATAAATACGATTGTAACCACAAAAAGCATCTTTATTGCATCTTTAGTATGTTTTTCATTCGTTTTATTTTCGCAAATCTCTTGTACCGTCCTAATTCGCCTATTCATATAACTGACGGTTTTGTTATAGCAAAAGACAACAATTATACCTGGCAATATCACTTCAATTATAATCAGTGCCGCCATGTAAATTTGGGCAACAAATTTTTCAGCATTAATGTAATCACAAACATAAGGCAATGCTTCTGAGACACCAGTAAGTAGAATGATTGGAATAGCTATAATAATTCCAAAGAACCAGGTAGTAAAAATGACAAGCCGAGTTCTTTGGCCATTCTTCAATACTTGATAATTACGTACAATAGCAAAGTATCGATCAATGCTAAGGAAGGTTAAAGTATGAGTAGAAGTATAATAAGATGAATAGATAACGATAACATTTAAGTGACATGTAATGTTTTTCTGTAATAAAGTCATGTTTCCGTGAATGTATAAAAGCTGATTGATAGTAAAAGCCAGGCCTGATAAACAGCTGAGTGCATCAGAAACCGCCATGCTAGCTAATAAAGTGTAAATATACGATTGCATCTCTTTCACTTTAAATACGATCAAGATGACGAAGATATTGCCGGTAAATCCAATGGTAAAAAGCGGTATCCAAATTGAAGATAATATTATCGTTTCAATTCTGATTGTATTAATAGTGGCATTATAATTGATGTTACTTAAATTTCTTATCATAGTTGAAATAAAATTTTATCCTCTTTTCGTAATCAAGCATTTATTATTTGAGAAATGATTTAAATATCATTGATCTAGTTTTCCACCAATCTCTTGAGAATTACTAAATGAACTATATATCAGAAAAGGACACTTTTTGAAAATTTCATTATCTTATGTAACATTTTCCGTAGAAATAAAGGCGAAGCTGTCGAGGCAAAAAGTTAATTATGGTAAACTATGGAGTTTACTATTATAATTTGGAATTAAACAGTAGTCATTTATATATTTGTGTGACAAAAAAATAAAATTCAACTCTATGCGAAAATTTAAGAAACTATATATTTTTTAGTTAGACGTGATTGATGCTGTTTTGTATTATAACATATTGGGAGATGATCTTGCAGATATAATGTAATATGTAGGGCGTATTATTGTAATTTTTTCTTTCTATCAGTCGCATGCTTTACAACGTATCATGTTCGAGCACATTAATGTTTTATAGTGTTATATTTAATAGAAATTTTTTATTTGCTATTGCTTTTGCGAACTTATTAGAATACTGTCTAGAGCTCTTCCTTGTTATAAAATTTTCGAAAAAATCGGATTTGATATTCATTAGGTGATGATAAATTCAAAACATTAATGAACAATTAATGACTATCATTTTATTATTTACGTAAAATCTGCTCGCAATATTTTGCTCATCAATTCTTTTATGCTTTTTTTTGAGTGGAATATTCATGTCTCCTGTGCAATACAATACTGCGGACGTAGTTTTTATTGCAATTATTAACATTATTCATGTTTATTTAATCTGTCAGTACAAGTCTTCGAGGTAATAGCTGTTTTAGTAACATCACGGTTAAATTTCGATGCTGCTTAGTAGCTATTATGTCGATAGCTTAAGATTCTGATAAAATATTTGAATAGAAATAAATTCTGTACCTCATTATATTGAAATAATATTCGTAAAATTCGTAGACATGTTTGGTAGAAGAGTTTAAATAACATTAATCATATCTTTTCGAAATTTGGTTTACAAACTTTAATAATTGAGCATTCTAGCAAATATAATTTCTAGAATAAGCAAAGGAAACCATTTAAATAAAATTTTAAGGCACAGCGAAGACATTATGACAAAGTCTTAATGCAAAAATTATTACCATAAAATGTTTAAGGTATATTTAAGCACATATACTCCATTATGTTATTATCAGTGAATACAAAATACAGTATTGTCACAAAACAGCTTTGCAACAAGATAACGCAATATACGATCAATAAATCAATTCCTTGAACCACGTATCAAGGAACGATATCTACACTATCACAAACACTTTTGCTCTACTAGCAGACTACACAAAGACTTAAACGCCTCGTATTTTACATTAAACACTAAGTTGGACAATTCTTCTTTATTTCACGATATACTGCATTTATATACTATTCCTCAATAGTTCATGAGTCATAGTTAATACAATTAACATTAGAATCATTTACTGAATTAGATATTAATTTTAGCTACTGCTCCCTTAATGCAGACAACAGTATTTACAAACATAGACATATAATGACTAATACAGAATAGTCAGATTACGATATGTCCTATCACGGAACATTTCCATGATAATTTACAGTCAACCATAAGTAAATTACAATCACAATGATTCGAACTGTAAGCAGATGATTTGCATTCCCTATTATAACTATTAATTTCAGTATGTGTATAAGTGTCACTGTGATAAAAAGTCAGAACTATATTAAAATACAGTATCTCCAAATTATAAGTTAACTAAATAAGGATAGTCTAACAGAATTATCCTAACATAGATATTTCTACTGTAATACAGTCTTTAACACTGTAACAAGTATCTATATAAAGTTGTACAACAATTTAGTTATGAAATATTAACTTTGTGACAGGTAAGTAGTAGTAAGTAGTTAAATAAGCTACAATTATCATATCAGAAGCTCTTATATTTAGATGACACAACTAGTAAGATAGGTTAGCAAACACTTTATACTTGGGTTGAATTATTAAGGTATAAAGTTTTCAAGGCACATAACCGTACCTTTGCTCCTAAAGGTTAAAGGTGACTAAAAGTATCAATAGTGCTGTGTCATAACTACTCTTATGATATAAATAAAGAATTCGATACTTGTTGTCAAGTTTTTGTTAGTTCGCAATACTACTTTCCTATCTTGCAGTAACTGAATTCTTTATGAAGCGCACACAAAAACAAAAAATACAGTATAACACCCAAAACTATTTTTATTGATCATTATCACGATGATCTACTCTATTAGGTGAACTGAAATCTTGATCATCATCCCAATTGTATACCCTATTAGGTGTTGTAGATATATTTTCTACGGTATGCTTTTTATAACAAAAGTGTTATAACATTATCATGGCTAAGTTATCATTAATTAATAGTTAAAGTAATGAACAATGTGATATATAAACTTGTTTCAACTAAACATTGCTTTATACTGACAATAAGTTTTAAGGCAAATGTTACTATAAATTACCCCCAAAATTTGTTACAAAACAGCTATGCAATAGGATAACATAATGCATGATCAATCAGTCGATATCCTGAACCCCGTATCAGGGAGCAATATCTACTCTTTCAGGAACACTTTTCCTATACTAGTAGACTACAAAAAGACTTAGACGCCCCGTATCTTACGTTAGACAATAATCATAAGAACTAACTTTATTTTACGATTTATCGTATTTATATACTCTTTTACAATATCAAAGACATCGTAGTTAGTAATCTTAACGATGAAACCTGATAATGAATCAAAAGCTAATTTTATCTACAGCTACCTAATGGAAAACAACAGTATTTATGAACTTAGACATCGAATGACTAATGCAAAATTGTCAGATTACAATATGTTCTATCTCGGAACATTGCTATGATAATCTAAAATCTGCCATAAGCAAATTACAATCACAGTGATTTGAGTTGTACGAAGATTATTCTCGATTCCCTAATTAACTACTAATTTTAGTAGGTTGTATATATCACCATAAAAGCCAGAACTATATTTAAATATCAAATTTCTATTTTCTCTAGGAGTGATAAATTTAATAGAATTAAGATTGTGACTTTCTGGGCAAATAAAAAACTTTGACGTTGAACTTCTGTTATTATGGAAAGTCATATTGACGGAAAAGCTACTATTATATTATGGATCTGAAATAGTCTCGCTCTTAACTGGAATCGCTTGTAGTTTGGAGTCCTTAGAGATGAGTTCCATAATTAATCATTAATTAAACGATAATCTTTTCACTACCGCTATAAATTGATGTCACGGCATTCATCAAACATGTGATAATGCTATTAGTTGTTATACTTCAGACAATTTTATTGAATTTTTATTTATAGTACAGACATGATAGAGTGACGAAACAAAGAGAATTATAATAATCATGGATATTGCGAAAACATAAAAAATAATGTCTCGCGAAAAATTTTAATTTATGGATAATGATTTATTTATGACGAAATTATATTTGACAGTGTCTATAGTAATTATTAAGTACAGCATGTTCGAATTCAAAATTGAGCTAGATCCAGTAAAAAAATCTACTTTAAGGTGGCATATAAGTGTATTTCATGAGCGAAATATCGGTAGTTTTACTTCCAAGAACAAGAGTACATGCAAATAATAAAATACTACCGAATAGAATAGTTTGTATTTCACTTTTCTCCAAGCATAAGTACAGTATATTTATTGAAGTTTTATTTTAACGTAATTTTAAATTTATATTGACGCGATAATGATTAAATAAAGTGTAAGAATGAAAATGAGAGTGAATAAATATTATTAATTTGTAGGTGAAGATAGCCAAGAAAAAAGAAAATACATTGACTATGTTTAGGCCCTTGTAAAGAAGGGCTTCAGTCAGACTAGTGAAGTTTAGAGATTTTTTACAACATAATTTTGCGGTTAAGAAATTTAAATGATACAGATTGCTAATAGCAATATCTATTTTTAAAAGTTTGGCTTTTACCATATTTTGCTCTACAAAGCTGTATAGATCCTAATAGTGCAATTTTATATTGTTATGGACCTAACAATATCATTCCTAGTTACTTTTACGCGGACGGCATTAAGCATTGCTTCCCGAAATGATCTACTACTCAAGCAGTAAAGTATAGGATTGATAAGATTAAGCAGTACCCCTAAACCATCACCGTATAAGTAAACATTTGGAATATCATAAAGGTAGACATCGATCATAGTTCTAGCTGTAATGGCCATTACCATTTTTGTGATATGAAAAAGAAACGAAAATGAAATGAATACAACGGTAACTGTTACCAGCATTCTCATGGCGTCCTTCTTTTGCTTTTCGACTTTGTCATTGTCGCATATAGATGACATTTCTTTAACTTGCTGTTTCATATAGCGATAAGTTCTAATGTAATAATAAGTCATAATTATAAAGGGTATTATAACTTCAGTCAAGAACAATATAGAAATGTATATCCGACCAAAAACAGTAGAGATATAGATGTAATCGCATATAAACGGAAACAACGGCGACACACCAGATATTTCAATCATTGGAATTGAAATGCCTAAACCTAAAGCCCAAGTCGCTATTATTACCAATTTAGTCTTTCTAGAATTTTTAAGGACTTGATAGTTATGGACTATAGCGTAATAGCGATCAACGCTTAAAAACGTTAATGTATGCGTTGATGTATAATAAGACAAATATATAATCACCAGGTTAAATTGGCAGGTCCAGGTTTTGATGGCTAACGGCATATCAAGGTAAGCATAAAGTAACTGAAAAAGCAAATAAG